TTATAAACGAGTCTAAGTCTATGGTCCCAAGTTTTAATATAGCCTATTTCTAGTGCTAGAGTTTCATTAGTAGTACCTGTTCACTACTTTGTGTTGTGACGTTATAAAGAGTCAAGCATGGTCCAGTTTTAATATAGCTGTTTTCAGTGCTGAGTTTCATTAGTGACTGTTCACACTTTGTGTTGTGACGTTATAAAGAGTCAAGCATGGTCCAGTTTTAATATAGCTGTTTTCAGTGCTGAGTTTCATTAGTGACTGTTTACACTTTGTGTTGTGACGTTATAAAGAGTCATGCATGGTCCAGTTTTAATATAGCTGTTTTCAGTGCTGAGTTTCATTAGTGACTGTTCACATATTGTGTTGTGACGTTATAAAGAGTCAAGCGGTCCAGTGATCTGCAGATATATTCTTCTTGTTCCATTACCAAAAAATATACGTGTATTACGAGCCACTCTTTGGAACAGTGGGTCTGTTATAAAGGTGACAGTCAAATGGTGCTATTGGCAGGCTGCTTTCCTTCTAATTTATCAGTTAAAAGTAGGGACAGCTAGTGAGTAACTTTGGGCAAATATTTGGAAACAAACAGAAAAAACCCATCGTAATAAGGTGGCAATGAAGAGTTGTAGTAATAAGAAAAACTAACAGAGGAGGAAAATCACTTGAGAAACAAGATTACGGATTACTTTATTCTTAAGGAAGAATAGTTTATTAGTGAATATAAACCCATATGTGCTGGATGTAGTTTGGTTTGCATATCATTGTATGTTTTTCTTTACTTCACTCTTAAACTTAGAATTTATTAATGAAGACTTTTTTTTACACAAACATTTGGTGCCAGTGAGCACTTTCAATAAAAAGTTATGGGTTAATTTGAAGGTCATGATTATACCTGGAAAATGTTGAAAAACATCTTGTTTGAGTATGCCGGCAATTTTGAGCTCCGATCACACAAGCGCTAGAAGCACAGTCGACAACAGTGGCCGGAACTCTCTTTTATCAAAATTATGCGTAGATATTATTAATCAGAAATGTTTGGATTTAGTGGACTTTTATTAGCATTTATCTGTTAAACATCTGGGTGTGTAGATTTGATGTTTTATGGTTTCCTAAAGAACTATTGGAAGTTACTATGGATGTTACAATTTTTAATTTTAGATGGACTTTCTATAGATTATGTAGCTTCTGCAAAATGTACGATATTTATATGAAATCACAGCTTTGAAAAGTAAAAAATATTTCATTATGATATTTTTTCTTTTCTTTTTTTAATTTAAAAGGCTTACCCTTATTGTAGATTTCAATTGCTAATATTTATATGTACATTCTTGTAAACTGTCCAAGAAAGTTTTTAATCCTTAAAGCTGTGAATTTTATTTTTGTTTTGATTCCAAAACACCACATCACAAAACAATTTCCAGGCTACATTAAAAATAACTTTTTGACCATACAAAAATTATAATGAAACTGAATTTCATTAACCCTTTCAAGATGAGTCACAGGTGAAAGGCCATGTCATCGTGTTTGTTGACTCGCATTAAAAATTTTATTGAACTTCTATTTCATGAATTTATGTAAATAACTTTGGTGTCAAACTGTAGATTATAATTCAAATTTTAGAACTATATGTTACTCAATTTGTTAATTTAAAAGTAAATATTACAAAAACAGATGAACATCTATTTTTGTGTGGTATGTTGAATGCAGCAATGGTTCAAATTAGATGTTTGTGAAGTCAAAATATTAAGTCTCTAGTTTCATACGAATTAGAAACTCAATTACAGATATTGACAAGCTTCAATATAAAATAAGAAGGTCTTATCTTTTCTATTTGCTGAGATATTGCTCACGTAATAAATCAAACACAGTGATACCCTGCTCACCTTTTTCCATTTTTGGAAATGCTCCCTTACATACACTTATTTCTATATATAACATGAATAACTAATCGGAAGCTCAAAATGTCCCCCCTAGTGGTTTTCTCAGCCTTTCTAATGCACCTAGTGCCATTTCTTTCTTTTGATTCAAGATTTTGATGAGGTAGGTTGTCTTTAATCTGCTTGAAATGTATATTTTTTTAGACCCAAGTAGAACTTAGTTACTAAGCTTGATAAATTATAGTAGAATTTATGATTTTTTAGTTATTCAAATATATATAAAACCTAAAAAAAAATATTTTGTTTTATATCCTCCACGTGCAAAATTTTTAAAGGCTTAGCAACCTACGTCAAGCAGCAACCAAGTACAAAAGTCATAACTAGAAGAGATAATTGTTTGCTTTACTTCTTTATTTACTGTTCTATGTTTTAAGTAAAAATAACTTTACAAACTAATTTCAAAATAGGAATAATCTTTATACATATACAATATATAATAATTGAAATGTGACTGTATTTTACAAAATAATAGTCGACTAAAACACAGTCAGGTCAGGTTGCTTTGTACAGACCAAAGATCAGTCCTACGTTATTTGATACGGTAACATGAGTGCATGTGAGCCGCATCATTATAACTTCTGTATTGTTAGCCAGACACAGGTGAAAGGTCAATATAATAAAAATAATAAATATATATAAATGTATACTGTTATGAGATTTAAGCTATTTCATCTAAACATTTATGTTTTTGTGTTATAATTTGTGTTCATTCTAGAATGAAAGAGGCTGTTTATTTCCTAATTTTTTATGATGGTTGCGAGATCGGTCAAATTTACCGAACCCGTATAGAGATTAATTACTGAAAATAACAGATAAAATATGAAGTTTTTTCTTAAGAAATATTTGATAACTATCCAGACATTATAAAGATTTCGCACGTGAAATTTCAAAATTTTCTGATGCATAAAAGTATTTTTAATCTTAAAACGAAAATTACTTTGCATGATAGATAGGAAAGATATGAAAAGAAAAAAAGGCATGAGAGAAACATTGCTTTACAAACCTTACGACTTAATAAAAAAAATTGATATTTTGCGTATGAAAGCATTGTAATGTTTACTGATAATCTGACAAATTTTGTTAACATTTACTTACTAATTTAAAAGTTATAGCATGAAAACTAGTACAAGCACAAATTAGTTGCGAAGTCGGTCCCAGGGACCAAGCCCGGGTTGAAAGAGGTTTCATTTAGTATATATATTAAATTTTAAATCCATCTTATATTCTTAAATATGTAGTTTAAAAAATGTTTTTCATACTTATCTGTCCTCATTCAAGCTGTTGTTTGGACTAATTTTCAGCAAAACAAAACTTGATACAGTCAAATGTAAAATGGACTTAACTAAGCCTAACTCATCTTCTTACATGGAAATAATTTCTTTTCCTATCTTACTGTAACAACATGAAGTACAAAAGGATAAAGCAAACTTTTCACAACCTTTAAAAAAGTCAGGACTTCAATTTTGGTAGAAGTCATTCACGAACAATTTTTCTGTTAGCAACATATCACCAAGCTAAACTTTTCTCAATTTGTTCTCATCTCTACATGAATTTCTGCCAAATTGGAAACCAAGTTGGCTCATACAGTTAAAAAGAACTGAAAAGGTGTTTTTCATTCCATGTTATATCACATAACTTCTCAACTTTGAGATATAACAGTTTATATAACACCATGACATATCTGGACTATTTAAAGAAAAATATGGAATAAGGAGTAGAAGTTTACTTTTCTATAAATGTTTTAATTCAATGTGTATTTTTTTCCCTTGGGAAACAGGTGTGCATAGGTGGGGATCAAAGGGTTAAGGACATCCTTCAGTAGTTTTAGAAGTGAACAGCAAACTAGCAAGCCATACTTAGTCAATTTCACACCCATTTTGTAAAAACTTAACAATTGCCAAGCTGTATATAAGTAAGTGTTTTCTCAATAGGTTTATGAGAATTAAGCTAACTTTTTTTTTTTACGGAAATTTAGAAATTATAGTAAAATAATTTTATTTCTTAGATGAGGGGATGTCAGGAAATGGTACAACAACTGAAGAAGATCATGATGACAATTCTGGTTATAATTTCAACGAAGATGTATTATGTGAGCATTGTGAGTATATTTCATGATTTTGAGTCTTATTTTTGTACTACGCATTTTAATATTATTCAAATAAACATTTTTAGTTTTTATATTTTTATACCATTTTCGTCAGAGATCATTCTTCAATAATGCAGCTTTGAGTGAATAGATAAAAAGCTTATGACATTCCGTTTCTTTTGAGCGAGACATGATTACATAATTAGTAGATGGAATGTCATCAAAAATAGCTTTTCGTCTTCCACTCAAACCTGCATTATTTGAAAAAGTATATGTCTCTGTGTCTGTTTATAACTGGCAAACTGCTGGACCAATTGTCACCAAACCTTGCATGTACCATTAGGGGACCTCTGGGGAGTAACATTTAGCTCGGACCCTTCACGTGACCTCCAGGGTCCCCAGGCAGTAATGTACAGGAATAGAGAAATTGATGTTTAGCTCTCACAGGAGCCCTGGAGAGTAATGTAGAGAGATCGACATTTAGCTCCTCCTCCCCCAGGGGCCCCTGTGTCTTACTTGTGCATTGGATGGATACGTCAGCTAGTTGAAGTATATATCTTATATTGGAAGAGGTTATATATGTGGACATTTAAGTATGTACTATTTCTACTGTTTTTGAATTGGAAGATCTACTAAAAATCACGTATGTATCACAAACATTCTTAAAACATGGAATTAAAAAAAATTATATGTAGTAGTGACTTTAACTGGACTACTTGCAGCGAACTTGTCTGTTAAGGAGGGTTGTAGAAGATTGGTTCAGGCACAAGTCTGGGAAATCCTTAAGCAGTACTTTCCTAATGCTCCTGAGTTTCCAAGAACTGCAAATGTTTGTCCTGAATGTGAGGTACATTTTTTTTTTCTCTCTCTCTCTTCATTCAAGTTATTACAGATACAGAATTTTGTTTTTCAGACACGACTTATATGCACTATAGTTAACATGCCTGTAAATTCATATGTTAATTAATGTTTTAATAAGCATTATCATTGCCAGGAAAAGTGATAGTTATTTGAAATATTTCTTGGTCACTAAAATCTATTGTTTCTAATTTATGCTTTGTCAATGCCTTAGTAATAGCCCAACATTCAATAGGTTTGGGTTAAAGGGATTCAGTTCCACCCATATGACCCATATAAACATTAAAGTAAAGATAGGTAGATCATCAACCTTGACCCAAAAAGTTTACCTGAAATCCTTCTAAAAACTGGATCATATTCAGGACAAAAATTCATGTCGTATTTTTTTTCCCCCTTTTCGACCTTCAACATTTTATAATTGAAACACGTGAAAACAAAAGCATGTTTAAGGTTAAAAGTTCAAGGTCAGAAAAGCTATTTCCACTTGTTCTCAGTCTCAACTATTTATACTGCATTATCTTTTTTTTTCTACTTCAATATTTTAAAGCTGCAACACCTGAAAATAATAGCATGTTTAAGGTTAAAAAGTCAAACTCAAGAAAGTTATTTTTTTTCTTCTTCTTCTTGTCTTAAATTATTATTACTGTATTCTCTAGAAACAACGTTTTTTTTCCTACCATAGTGTTTTTTAACTGCAACAGCTGGGAACAAAAATATGTCAGGGCCACAGCCTCCGACCCCCTTTCTTTTACTGATGTTATTTCGTGGTTTTTAAAGCAATGTTCAGTACTTCATCCATTTTACTTTTATTATAATATTTTAGGTAGTTTTAAAGAAATGTTATTTTTGTTCGACATAATTAATGCTTGATAAAAAATAATGGTTAGCTCTCTGAGTAGAATAAAAATGTATTATTGATGAAATTTTTGTAGTACATCAGGGTACTGAGTGGGTAGTAATATTAGATCTACTATTTTCATCAAGATGAAGCAGGAAGAAAATCAGGTGAATACAGACCGAAATAGGCTACTGGCCTTAGAACAGAAAACCTGCCTCCAAGATCTTTACTCAGATCGTAACCAACCCACCTGGACCAAGGTTGAGCCAAACACTATCATGTACGTTGTCGATAGGAATATTGTAGACGAATGGCGCAAGTTTATAAGGTAAATACAGCTTATAATTTTTTTAATGAATTTCATGAACCAGACAAATGTGAGATCTTCCTGCACGTTTTGCTGATGTTCTGATCAAAAGTTCAAATTTCTTTTAATTTAGTTTTTACATTTTTTTAAGTCTGTTATACTCTTTTGTATAAATTTAACATGTTGAATTTGGATTTAACAAAAAAAAAATCCCAACGTCCCGATAGTATACGTCATAGGAGAGTTTTCCCTTACTTCAATACAGCCCATAACATTTGAGTAGTGGTAAGTTAGAAGACAGCCTATGAATCCAATAAACTGTGACATTAGAACAGTGGTACACTAAAACAATGCCTATAGATCGCATGAACTGTGACATTAGAGAAGTTGTACACTAGAACACAGCCTATAGATCCAATAAATTGTGACACTTGAACATTGGTACACTAAACACAGCCAATAGATCCAAGAAACTGTGACATTAGAACACTGGTACATTATAACACAGCCTATAGATCCCACGAATTGTAACATTTGAACAGTAGTACACTAAAACCCAGCCTATGGATCCAGTAAACTGTGACAATAGAACACTGGTACACTAGAACACAGCCTATAGATCCAATAAATTGCGACATTTGAACAGTGGTACATCAAAACACAGGCTATAGATCCAATAAACTGTGACATTAGAACAGTGGTACATTAAAACACAGCCTATAGATCCAATAAACTGTGACATTAGAACAGTGGTACATTAAAACACAGCGTATAGATCCCATGAACTATGACATTAGAACAGTGGTACATTAAAACACAGCATATAGATCCAATAAACTGTAACATTAGAACAGTGGTACATTAAAACACAGCCTATATATCCAATAAACTGTTACATTAGAACACAGGTACATTAGAACACAGCCTGTAGATCCCATGAACTGTGACATTAGAACAATGGTACAGTTAGACACAGCCTATAGATCCCATGAACTGTGACAATAGAACACTGGTACACTAGAACACAGCCTGTAGATCCCATGAACTGTGACATTAGAACAATGGTACAGTAAGACACAGCCTATAGATCCCATGATCTGTGACATTAGAATACTGATACACTAAAACACAGCCTATAGATCCAAGAATCCGTGACATTAGAACAGTGGTACACTAAAACACAGTCTATAGATCCAAGAAACCGTGACATTAGAACAGTGGTACACTAAAACACAGTCTATAGATCCAAGAAACCGTGACATTAGAACAATGGTACAGTTAGACACAGTCTATAGATCCCATGATCTGTGACATTAGAATACTGGTACACTAAAACTCAGCCTATAGATCTAATGAACTGTGACATTAGAACAGCAGTACACTAGAACACAGCCAATAGATCATATGATCTGTGATATTAGAACAGTGGTACACTAGAACACAGCCTATAGATCCCATGATGTGTGACATTAGAACACTGGTATACTAAAACACAGCCTATAGAAACTATAACCTGTGACATTAGAACAGTGGTACACTAGAACACAACCTATAGATCTAATAAACTGTGACATTAGAACAGTGATAAACTAGAATGCAGCTTATAGACCCCTTGAATTGTGACATTAGAACACTGGTACACTAAAAGACATTTTATAGATTTTACATCCCATGATATTAGAACGGTGGTACACTAGAACACAGCCTATAGATTCCATGATGTGTGACATTAGAACGGCGGTACACTAGAACACAGCCTATAGATCCCATGATGTGTGACATTAGAATGGTGGTACGCTAGAAAACAGCCTGTAGATTCCATAACATATGAAATTAGACCAGTTTTCGATGATCAGTCTACCAATATTCTGTCTTCGCACGTGACTGTTTTGAGCTATCACCCCTTGAAATCAGTTTTGGAAGTTGATGGATAGCTTACACAAGTGGACAGGAATGTTCATAATGTTGGTTAATGTAGTGTTCTAATGTCTATTAGTCAGATCAGGGCTATGATAAAGAGTTCTGAGAGGTTTGTGAAGCTTGGAATTGAAGCGTATTCCAAATGCAGAAAAGTCTTTCTTATTCCACAAATCATCTGGAGCAACCAGAACTTTTTTGTGGAAGTGTTGAGAAACCACTGGTAGCAAATGTAAAGATGACACATGGTTTCATGTTTATCGTATACATGGTTTTAGTCATTTTTTCTCATAAGTATCATTCACCAGTGTGTTTAATGTACACATTGTGTTTGTCTCTTTCATTGCTCAGTTTTATTTGTTGGTTAGTTTGTTTATTTTACACATTTTTCTTTAGTCTCTACTCAGTTTCCTGCATTAGTTTAAATATATCCAAATTTATTATTTTCTATCAGTGCTTCAATATTCAGATTGTTTGAAATGTTTCATTAATGAAGTCAGTATTTAAACAAGTTATGTAACTGCTGTAAGCTAATTCATGTCTCGGCAGCAGTAGTAATGATTGAGTAATCTGCACAACAGATGAAAGAATAGGGAGATAAAACTGTGCAGATTGGAATTCTATATTCCAATACTCAATTTGACTGCCCTCTTGTGTGCAACTTTTTGCTCGTCACTAACCTTGAAATTCTCACCTAACTCCACGTGGTTCAGCTGCATTTAAGCATGCAAATTAGCATGTGACAGTCCTTCACCAATAGGAGTGCGACAAACCCTCCTGTCACAGCTGACACCTTCTATGTAGTTGATCCCAATCTTCACTTCGTGATTTGGTACAACAGTGTTAAGACCTAACACTTGATTTCAGACTCTTTTTTTTTTCTCCTTTAGTGTGTTTTGAAAATATTTAGTTACTGATTTTTGAATTTCAAGGTATTGTTTATAATCCACTATCGAGTTAGATTTCTTCATTTGATTGTGAATTCTATTTCTCACTCAATTACTGGTAATCAATCAATATTTATGAAATCACAATTTAATATTATGACTACCATGACTACTGACAGTACTGCTGTTCAATAGTCCATGAAAACAGCTGTAGGTGGAGCACTAATAGTTCATCGAAAGATGACTTCTTTCATGTGGGCCAAGGGATTTCCTGATCTACAAGCAATTCTACGATTACCTGCATCAAAACGATGCATACTTGGACATACTCCCTTCCTTTGCATGCAGGAATGTTCTCAGCCTGTTGAAGCACCTAGACCTCAGTCACCATTTTTAGACTTGATATCACAGGTATGCTGTTTTTTTGTCTTTGTTATGTGTTATTTCATCCCCCCCCCTTCTTATTAACTGCAGCATCTAGTACTGAGTTTCATTTTTCCACCCTTCACCTGATATTATGGTCCATACCGAACATTTTGCGGATCAATTACGTATGGGGGTTAGCATACCACACCCCACACATACTGCAGAGACTCATGCACTTGCATATCATTGTTCAGCACTCTTGATCTCCTCTTCTGGGCTTACAGCTATCAAGTTCGTTTGCTGGCTTGTTACATACCGGCTGCCCTCAATCTTGTTATGGATTGTTTGTACTGTCCCGACAAGATTCTACTCACGGAGTGGTTTCTCGACCCCAGGTATTACAATGGCTATGTTCTCAGTTGGATACTCACTAGCTGTATACATTTACCACTCATTTGAATGCCAAGATTCCTCTCTTTTGGTTCCCAGTTCCACATCATTTGGCTTTGGCCATGGATGCATCAGCCAGGATTGGAAGGACCTT